TAGAATAGCAAAAAGTACACTCCTAAATGAATTCAATCAAAATAAAGAGTGAAGGAGAAAAATCAAATCCTCACTATGTTCATAACTAGGAACTTGTGAAGAGGTAGTGATGCTAGTGCGGTATTTTAGGCAACTCAGCTAGATCCCTTTACAAGTAACAGAGGTTGAGAACATGCTACAGATAAACCGTATTTATCAGTGTAGAAAACTTTACAGTTGCTCAGTGTTAAGGTATATTCATCACACATGTCTATTTTAGTTTACAATTTTTCTCTTCTACTATGTACCCACTTCTTTTGCCCCTTTTCCCCATTCTCTGTTTCATCGAACCTAATTTATATTCTGAAATTCTTGAAAAAAATATTATTTATTATTTGTATTAGTCTAAAAACTCATGCCAGCATATGAGATTATTAACTTCCTCTCATTCTCTTCAAAAATTTCTATGTCATATGGTGTAAAAAGCAAATTAAAGTAACATTAACATTAGAAAAGCAGCAACTTACTTAGGAACTTCTTAGGTTTCTGCACCATAGGAATTGTTAGACAGGAAAAATGCAGAGCTGCTAAGGAATGCATGTGTTCTCTTTTTCTGTTCACACAACCTTACTCAGTCTGCAGTTCCTAATGATACTTCTCCAAAATAAATATCTTGGAAGGGTTGGTACCTTGAATGTCTTTGTTCATGTCTTCTTAGCTTTCTCTATACATTGTGTTTGTTACATTTCAGATACTGGTAACGTTTCTAGCTGCATATGTGTACACAGAAATGTATAAATTCATTCTGTTGTTTCTTTACGAGTATCCTCTCTATTATTTTTTTAATTAACTGTTCCCTCTTCTCCAGGGGTTGGTAATACTCCCTTTATCTACTTTACTGATGTCTGTTCCTTTATTAAAAAAAAGGTAAATTTACTGATAATATAATATTTACATAAATTAAAAACTACTGTTTTTAAGCTGAGAGTGAAACAGTGACCCAAATGAAATCAACAAAGCTTGACTCTTGCTGATTTCATTAGTACCAGCATCTCATCTATAATTTCAAAAAGGACCATGAGAATTTAGCTACTATATCCTTAGAAGAGTGACAGAAGGATTTGAAAACAGACTAAACAAATTTTACAGACCTGTTCTTTTTCTTTATACAGTATAAATGCAGGTGCAATTCTTAGTTATGGATTTGATGAAGATACTTCTAGTACAGACATATTTTCAGATTTAACATTATGCTTGTAAGAAGATACAGATATGCAGTGATATGCAAGGTCAACACACACATTTATTTTTAAATGTATATTTACAAACCTGTCAAAACAACTCATTGGTTTACAGTACTTACTGACTTGTGTCATGTTTTATTGATATATTAAGTTCTTCATTAAAAAAATAATCTTTTCCTTTTCTTCTGATTATACTAACTAAAGGAGAGGAAGACCTAAGCCAAAATTATTAATGTGTTCCATCTCCTTAGTGTCAGTAAGTTCTTGAAAGCTTTTCTTGTTCTGATAAACCTTGACAGGTGATCCACAAAATGCTGGATGGAAAAAAGAAAAGGGAAAGGCTAAATAGTCTTGAGGTAAAAGGCAAAAAATCTTGAAAAACCCTATCAATTAATGACTGGGTAGGAACTGCTGATTAAATCAGAGGATTCAACAGCATTATATTTCCTACTTCCTTATAATTTTGTGATGATGTATCTTTACCTTCTGTACCAGGTTTGATATTTAATACCTATGCAAGTGATTTAGAATGTGGCAAGAGGCAGCTGAGTTTGTATGGAGATAGAATAGTTCTGTTAGAATCAGAAAGCAGCATGAAAAACCTTAACAGGACATGAAAAATTGCAGTGAATCATAATGACAAATGAACATCCATACCAGTAAAAACAAACATTTGAGGTGAAACAATGAAATATTTTAACAACATTTAGGGTTTAAAGTAATGATTTCAGGTCAGGAAATAGACATGAATGTCATTGCACTCTAGTTAATTAAGATTTCCACCCACTGTGCAGCAGTAACTGGAGGCAAAGGAAATATTTAACAAGATTACTGAAGAATGGGATAAAAAGTAATTCCAAAATTGTTCTAATAAAATAATAACAGCCAGTGTTTCACCCTCAGTTGGACTGCCATCACTTAGTCTTATGGTTAATGGAGCAGAAGTGAATTTTCCACAAACACACAATGCAAACTAAAACGAGTATATTGCTGAGTATTTTAATGAAAATTTTAAGTCTTTTCACTGAGAACAAAAATGAACATGATAACCTTGTTTAGAATTCGAGAATATCAGTTAGTCAAAGAAACGAAAAGTTGCATAGAAAAGAGAAATTCAATACAAAAATAATTTTCCATACAATGTACAATCACACTGTGAAACCCATTGTCAGTCGATAGTACTGAAAATACGCATTTTAGCAAGGCTAAAAAGGTATTGGAAAGTCATGTGAGTAACATCAACATCAGGCATGTGGCAGTATCTCACTTAGCCCTTGCAAGAGTTTTCTTCTGGTAAGCTGGAAATGGAAATGTACAAGCAATCATAGCCTGTATAGGTTGTTTTCATGCAATGGCAATAAATCTGCATTTGAGGGGCCTGTGCTGGCCACTGGCAGAAAGAAAGAAAGAAAAATAGCCAACACAAACCCCTATTCCTCTTCTAGTATCAATTATCTGCTTGGTGTTTTACAATGAACAAATCCATCCACAGAACATCTAAATCTAGGACCTTGTGCTGAATTAAAGTAGAGCTATTTTCCCTTGCACTTCCTTCTCTTCCCTGCTATCAGCTCATGTCATCCTTCAGATCACTGGTATAAATATATGATCCCAGCCACTTCCATTCACAGTCCTCCCTCAAAGGTACATACTGTATCTCTTGGGAAAAAAAGGAGAGGCCACTGGTATCAGAATAAGGGCAGTTCTTCTGTAAACACAGTCTGTGAATGTCACTAGCCTAGCAAGTTAAAGAACAACCTCAAACTGTAATTTAGCCTGACTAAAAAATCACTATAAATTTACTAGGCTCTATTCCAAGATTAAAATAACACAAAATTAGGATTAAATCTTTTGATTATTGTAGAGACACAACAACATTAATGTAACTTCTACCCTTCTCCCTTTACCAAGACTTGGGGTGGCCTGAATTTTTCATTTATTTTTTAATTATATTTTAGTACAAAACTTCCTATTTGTTTCCCCTGTTGCTGGAGAAGAGCCCAGTGTTGGCCAAATGCAAACACAATGTAGTGATGACCAGCTGTCCACCTGGGCAATTTAATTTCATACTTTGCATACCAGGGGTAACCCAGAGCAAATTGTTGAGTCTTGAGAATGCCTGTCTTGTGGGCTGTTCTAGGGGTGAGATAAAGTAGCAGAAAATATGCTGATGTGATCATCAGGTCTACTTAGAAACCATCCTGTTTCCACTGAGGTGCCACCAGGACATATCCCCATATCTGCATTTTTGGGCAGAAAAACACTCCCTCAGAGAGGAGCTGAGTGAAGCTAGAATCTGGAGCTAAAACTAGGTCTATGTGCAAGCCAGCATTGTAGCTTTTGAGTTTCAAAATACTACAAAAAGTGTTATTCTGACAGTATTAAACTTTCAGCTAAGGGGACAAATCAAGATCAACTGCTGACCAAAATGAGTCAGAAAATAGATTAACTTCAATGCTTAAGCACATGTCATTTCTAAGGAGTGTGCAAATGTGTGCTTATGTATTATTTACACTGTAAGATACTTTTTTTTTTAATAAAAATACATAATTTTTTTCTGATCTATTTTATATTTGGACATGAATATTTATATCCATTCTTAACCAACAGAGACCATTGAACTCCCATACATTTGCTACTACTGTTAATTTCGGGTTTTTTTCTCTCTCTAAAGGTGAAATTGATTGGTTTTGTTCCATCAAAAACTGTACACAGACTAATGTTTCAGCTTTGGAGGATCTGAAGGCTAACTCCTTATTATATATTATTATATATATATATATGAATCCTCTTGCCATAGAGGATTCATATATATATAGTAAAGAAATAATCTTTACTGTTTGCCATTTCCTGCTGTATTCATGTGGAAAAAAGTAATTTTTGTTTGTTTGAAACAAAACCTAAATTCTAAATGTGAATTCTTCATGCCTTTACAACTCTCAGCAAACAAGATGCTATAAAAGAATTGATCAAGAAAATCAAACTATGGTCAAAGGAAGGTGTTGTCAGCTTCTCTGGTTTTAGTTCCATTGTATTTACTGGCTTTGTACTCAGCTGATTAAATTAGCAATTTCAAGAGAAATTCAGCTTTCACTTTTATTAGACTTTTTAAGTACCTTTCCCACTACTTTGGCTGTGGTGAAAAGCTGGACATTGTAAGTCAAAAGGTTCATAAACAAAATTACTCCTCAAAAGGAGCACTATTGTAAAAAAAAGTCTTTAAAGGTATACTTTTTTTTTTTTTTAGCAGTTGTATGGAGTTTGCATGCTTAAAGGAGATAGACTTTGAGAAAGTCTTCAGTCCTTACCTTCAGGACAAGTACATAGCTCAAAAAGACAAAACAGACTCACATTTTCATAAATTTCACAGAACAAAAAAGTAGTAACTGCATTCTACTCTCAGAGGAAAATAAAGCTGAATTGCAACTGTCCCTTGGCTTTCTCTCTAATGTAATAAAAAGCCTTGGACTATATCTGAGTTGTGCAGACTTAGCCTTCAAATCTCCACAGCTAGGCTATAAAAATGAAAAGCAAAACAAAAGCTTTCATGAATGAACAGGTGTTTTGGTGCTTTGACCCTGGCCGGATGCCAGGCACCCACCAAAGCCACTCCATCACTCCCCTCTACAACAGGACATGGGGAAAAAAAATATAACAAAGGGTTCATGAGCTGAGATAAGGACCAGGAGAGATCACTCACCAGATACCCTCATGGGCAAAACAGACTGGAATTGAGGATATTAATTGAATTTATTAACAGCAAAATCAGAGCAGGATAATAAGAAGTAAAATAAATCCTATAAACACCTCCCCCCTATCCCTCCCACCTTCCCAGGTCTACATCAATGTCCCCAGCAGTGAGGGAGATGGGGAATGTAGGTTATGGTCAGCTCATCACAAGTTACATCTATCCATGACATTCTTTTTATACTATTCTTTCTCCCATGGAATAAATCACTTTGTTTTGACCTGATCACAAATGTCCACAACCCATAGAACTTCTTACAAATAAAAACAAAGGGTTTTTCTATTTAAAAAAACTCTCCCAGTGCTTAACGGCCTCCCTTTCGCATTTTGTACTTCAACATCAAACTAGAATGGTGTGTCTGTTACAAGTCAAACAATTTTTTCTGTAAATAACATCATAAGCATTGTAAGCCAGAAATCAGTTCCTTGACTCTGGGATAATGTCACAGGGATGGGAAATGGGTATGAGAGGAGGATGAGATAGGTTGTAGATGTAGATCTGTGACAGAGAATTTCATATTTCCTTCATTTCTTTAAGAGTGGTGTCCAGTTTGTACTTCAAGGCTCCTGTATCAGACAACTGCCTATTCCAGCAATGGGGAAAAGCTGACAATGTCCTTGTCTTTCACTTCAGTGGGTCTCCAGTTTCAAGGAGGCAGGTAGGGGACAATAATGTCACAGGTCTGCAGCTTAGCTGTCAAGCTGCACTTCTGCCATCTATGACCATCTTTCCAAATTTCAGCTACTCTTCTGTGATGTAGAGTTTTCAAATCAGCCATATGGAAGAATTTTTCTCCATAGGTTGTCAGGAACAGCCAGCTTCTGGTTCACCTCCATGGTAAGACACAGCCTCTTTTTTCTGACCTCCTGTGCTAGGTTTTTTTTTAAATCTTCTTTGCATACATCCAGAAAAGGCTGGATTCCATGTTTTCTTTTGAGATGCTGCTGAAATATCAGTGTTTCTGGTGGGACAACACAAAGTTAAAAGAAAAAACCTCCCCTGCAGCAAGCTAAAGGTATTTTAGTAAAATTACACTGTACCTCCAGTAAGATCTTTTATTTCTGGAAAACTAAAGACAGAAAAACCTCAAATAATTCCTTTGTTGTGACAACCTATTTCTTGCTCGTTGTTCATTATCTCACTAATATAATCAGGCTCAAAAATAGAGGTTGAAATACTGTAAATAATGTTCTGCCATGTATGACATGGGTAGGAGGAAGCACATTTTACAAACAAATATCTTGAAGGACAGTCTCCATTCCATGAACCTGAGTACACAGTGCTGCTGCAAGGAGAAAGAAAACAAGTCACAGACAATACCAAGCAAACACTACCAAAAAGCAATGAAACACCTACTCAGACTGATACCAACCCCTGAAATCCCCACATGGACTTTCAGGCACACCTCTCTGCTTGATTCAGTACAAGCATGAGCACACCTGATTCTGTGAAAGCCTCAAATACAGACAAACAGCCCCTTGATCCCTGTGCAGATGAAAGTAAAGACTGGAAAGGAACAAAATCAGGAAGAGTTTTTCAGGCAGTTGGTTCCTGAGCAATTTATAAATAGTCTAGGCTCAGTTAGTATTATAAGGTTTTTTTATATTGTACATTATCTAACAGTGCAAAATTCAATTTGCTTCTTGTTAGCAGTCAGTGGAACTAATGCCAGGGCTCTGAACGTTTTTTACATATTTTTAAGCTGTTTTGTTTCAGTACTTACTGTTTCGTATTCCATTGCAAGAAATGTAGCTATGTCAGGGTGTTTTAAGTATCCATGCAATCTGCACAAAACAATTAAGAGGCTCCCCTTAGGTCATCAACTCAGAAAACACAAAGTTATCTTTAAATTTATGATTCTTTTGGAAATAAATAATCCCTTATGCAGTTAATTAAATTCAAATTAGTCAGGTTCAATATTTACTGGTTATCATTTTCCTCCCAACTCAGTACAAAGATGCATCAAGCCTTAATTCTGAAGAGCTTTGAATATTCTTTGAATATTCTTCTATTCACAGTTGTAGGGACCTACAGTACTCTAGTTTTCTGCCCCAAACCCATTCTTTTGTATTTGACATGAAAACACGATTGACACATCTATATTATCCCTCCTGCACACTTTGTCTACATCCATTGCACTCACAACTTTACTGGGTGTGGATTTTTACTGGCAGCTGCAAGCATCTTAACTGGTAATCTTACACTAAGACATCTTTTCAAGATAAAGAAGAAAATATAGTTTGACTAATAACAACCCCAAAGCCAGAGCTATGGTAGACAGCAGCTGTTAGTCAGAAAGAGAGGGCAAATCATCTTGCACTGCCTAAATTGGAATGACTCCCCATTATCCTAGAAAGCCTGTGGAAATGCCAGTCTGATATATGGATAGCCAGCATCTCCAGAATAAATGAAATAGGCAGAGTCTGACATGCATAAAGTAAGTGTGACAGACAAGAAGTGGTACATTTGGATTGAGCTAGTGATTTTGGAGTATAGGCTCTTCACAGAAAATCCTACTTAGTCACTTCTCCCCTTTGCTCTCCAAACCAGTCTTAAATGTGCAGAACTTAATATCCAGCATAAAGAGAGGAGATGACTGGGGATACAAGCATCATGAAGTCACCCTATGACACTTGCCTAAATTCTTCTCACCCAGTTTATAATATTGAGCATCCGGATGTCTGTTCTCAGCTAGGCATCTAGGTCAAGATTCAGATCCCTACATTTAAGCATGCACATGTAGGTGTCTGCAGGCACACTAAGCATTACCTTGTGTAGAATTTAATTCTCCTGCCTGACACCTAAAACAATTTCCAATGTTCTGCCTGGCCTACAGAGTGTGCAATTCCCCAAAGGACCAATGTCTGCCTGCCTTTTCTCCTGGGTCACCTAGATGTTTCCTTCCTCCTACCTATCTCCTCAGCTTTCTGTCTGTCCACTCAGTGTTGGAGTCTGAGATACAGAGTGTGTGCCCTTGTTTCTGATACCTAACTCTAAGATCCAGAAAAACACTGAATTTCATACAACATTAAATTCATGAGCACGTTTTCATGATGATACATGAAAATTAGATAAATGTTAAATTAGATAGAAAAAGCTAAAAGTGTAAGTGTGTAGATTAGTGAGTTTTCTTAAGTCACTGGGTGAAAAAGTTAGTTTAGAAAACCAGAGACAAGATGGAGGATTTAGGGTGTTGTCTCTTGTCCTTCTTTCTTCTTCATATTCTTCTCCTAGAGGTTTTTGGGTAGTAGTAAGTGATTGGTTAGAAAATGCCGCAGTGCATCATAGAGGTGATGGGTCATTGGGTCATTAAGAAAAATAATATACATGTCTATTGTTAATGGGGTAAAAATAAGTATAAAAGTAAAAGAACAGCATTGTTCGGGGCCATTTTGTGCTATCAAACACAAGTGAGCCACAAGCCTTGTTGTACCATCAGAAGAAAGAAACGTACCAGATTGCAAAGAATTAGGCTTGTGCAGACAGTCTGGAGAAACCTGCCAAGTTTTGTGATGACCTTCTAATAAACATGAGAAACAAGATCCTAATGAGCTCAGGAGTTTTCTTCAAACCAGAGAACTGAGATAAGCAGAGCTCCCCACGAGGGAGGATCCCAAAAGAATTCAGTCCAAAGGAGATTGAGAAAGCCAGGAAGAGAAAGAAAAATATAGAAGAAGTGCAGCAGAATCAGGGAAAGAGAAAAAGAATTTTTTAGAGAAAAGTTACACTCAGCTCTAGTTTTGAATGAGCCCCACTGAATAAGAGCAGCTCAGACTTCTGAAGATATTGCTAAATTATAAGGGAGAACTGTGAGAGTGTGTACAGACCACAACTCAAGGGGAAGAACTGTGATCAGGAAACATATAGAAGCTTTAGTGAAACACCTGGGAGTCAGAAGATGACAAGTCAGAAGCAACAAGGATCAGGGCATTCAGTGAACATTAGAGGCCCACTCTTCCCTTCCTGACTTATGATTTCTGATCAACAAAATTCATTGTCATCTTAGTGGAGATGAAAAGCATAGTAATGCCTACCCTAGGAGCTCATTAGTCCTCACTATCTATTGCACAAATTCAACAAATGAAGAACTTCTTTATGCCTTTAAACATACTGTACTGTCTCTTGCTTGCATGCTTTAAACTCACTTGAACAAGTCAACACACTGGGGGAACATTACACAAACCATCCAAAACAGCCCTAGAAGACCCTGTGTTCCAGCTAATGTCGATATGGTGAAACCTCAGTGCAGCCAAAGAAACCTGGGCAGATATTCTGCTGGATGTTGGCTGGATCTTCACTGATTTAAAAAGGAGGTTAGATGTAGAGCACCCATGTAGATGCTGAATTTCAGGTAGCTGAATCTCACCCAGCTATGGTGTCAGAGGCAGATTTACAGCAACAGGAACTGATAGGACTTCTTTTGGCTCTTCTTTATCATCCCTATTCTCCAGTCTCTAGATGTAGCCCCAGCAATTGCTAAGAGGCAAAGGAGAAAGAGACAGATCCTGTGGCTACAGCAAGATGGAGCAACAGCATTCTCTTCAGATCTGTTAGACCATGTCAGGAGAGGGTTCATCCCAGTCACGTGGCTTCAGCCTGCTGGAGTCATGACATTCACCACACCTTCACCAGGTCTGGGCTCAGTCTCATCCTGAGCTCTGTCCCAAAGTGCTCCTGTTGTTTCGTGTGTATCTGCTTCCAGGTATTGTAAAGCAAAAAATTATAAAACTACTAAATGTTGGTAATTTAAGTCACCTTGAAAGAAATCTATGCAGTAGGAATTTAAATAAGTCTTTATGCAAGGTCGTTGTTATCCAACCATTATTAAATTCTTATGCCAGAAAATCTGGTAATTTTCTTAAAATATGTTTTTATTCCCTGCAGACAATAAAAATAGTGACTTTAAAAAGTGTTTTTCAATACACTATTGCCATTTTCTAAACGAATAATTTTCTGTTATCTGTTATCTCATCTGAACATACTGGCAATTATCTTGTTATATTACCGCTTTCTGTAATTTAATATTCAATTTGATTTTTGGACCAAAGCCACTCCTTATATCTAAGGAATCAATTTTTTATGGTCACTATTACTGATTTTCTTAACAGCCTCTACTGCAAGCCATTTTTTGATCAACTGAAGCACATACTGAGAGAGAAACTGTCACCCAATAATCTTTTTTTTTTCATTAACTTGTCTCTAAACGTCTTCCACTTTCTCTGTCAGAAACACTCCACTTTCTTCAAAGGTCTAATATCATAATTCTGTTTTTCTTTTCCCTCTCCCCTCCTTCCCACTCATAACTTGTAATTTGATCTGTGACAGCTTAAAGAAAAAAAACAAGTCTCATTTTAGTAACTTTCTGTCATTCTGTGTTTCACTAAGTAGTTATGCAGAACTGAGATCCAAATACTCCCAAATTTGGAAAAATCAGATTCACATTCAAATTGTTCTGCATTATGTTATAGAGAAATCCTTCAAAAATCCTCTGTAACACAGAGTGCAAGTCAACACACTTTTGGGAAGAGCTTTACTTTTTTCTAACCAAAAAAAGGGTAGTTTTCTAGTAATAGCAACTAAGGGAGAATGTACATTTCTGGGCACAGAAATACCTAACAGAAAGAAATCCAAGTTTCATAGCCACTGTTAAATCTACAGCTGAGACCAATGTTACTATCTCTTTGTATGTATTATTTGCTCTAGTATCCTCATGAGAACCAAGTCACCCTCCAGCACCACCTGGAGATGAGAGTGGTGAGATACAAAGCTGAGAATGCTTTGATCATGCTGTATAGAAGATGACTTCATCTCTTTTATGGGGTCTTTTTGGTCTATACTGAATGTCTTTCCCCAGAATATCATCCCCTGGTACTTGGGTTATTACGTACTTGGTTACTGGCTTCTTCTGGGACACTTTTGTTTTCTGTGTTGCCACAACTCACATGATGGGAGGGATCAGACTCACCAAGATTGCACTGGTGGCCCATGGATGCAGTCAAGGCAGCTCATCTTTTGTACAAAACAAAACTAAGATGTTTCTTTCAAGACTTAGGCCCTAAGACAACAGTGAAGATCAAGGGTGCAGCCCTCCTCAACACACTGCAGCTGTGACATTCAGTTAATAGAGTAAGTCCATTGCAAGGCACAGAGTTTAAAACTAGAAAATATTTGTTTTGCCTAGAAATCTCTTCATAGCACAGAAATGAAAGCAGAAGGGTGCATTTTTCTGAGGTACAAACTAATGGTGTAAGGAAGTAATGATAAGAAAACAGCTCTCTCAACAGAAATACATCAATGACTCAACAGTGTCATTTTCCCATGATGGGAGTTAAGACGGAACTAAAGGATGGCAGGACAAAAATCCTACAGTGTTCTTCAAAGAGAGAAGTTTGAAAGTATGAATTGAGTAAAAAACGTTTCTGAAAGGTAGATGCATCTACAGTGGGCTTCATGTCAGCTCATATTTTAAATTCTACTACATATCTCTTTCTCATAGGTGAATGCCAAGCTGTCTGAAAACAGAGATCAAGGTAATCATATCAATTCAAAAATTTGTTCAAAAATTGACTGCAATGTCATTTATAGGCCTCTTACCAAAAACTAAATTTGATGGGAATCTGCTTTGCACTATGATCAACTGTTATTTCTTCTTGAGATTCCTTGAGACTAACTTTTTTATGCACAGTTATGACATCTATAAGACATTTCAATTGCACTCTCAGGTTCACTGCATACACACTCTATTTCAGTCATTGTGTATAGAAACAATCATTTGTAGATAAAACAACCCTACTCTAAAAAGCTTTTACTTATATAGTAGCCTTGATTTCTCTTAGACAAAGTAAATTAAATAAAATTTGAAGTCTCCCTCAACCTACTTATAAGTTGAAGAGAGAATAACTAGGAAAAAAAGAACATATTTTGCTAGTTATGTTCAAAGTTAATGTTTGTGTTTGTCCTTATTTCTTCTCCTCCTTTTCCCCTTCAAATTTTAAATTATTTGTTTGCCGCACCAGAGCCAAATTGCTTTGATCCTTTAATTATCTGAATTATTTTTCTGTGTTCTTTGTTTCTCTGCCAATCATTAATTCATCTTGTGTGAACAGACTGCTAAAAAATTCAGGTTTTGCACAGCATGGCAATGAGGTATGATATGCTTAGCTTTTACATCCAAGAGTTTTAAGACTTCCTGATTCATCATATGAGCCAATGAACATGTTTATCTAATGCTTTGCAAAAAGAATAATCTTGTTCTTTCTGTTGGCATTGTTTCCCTTTTGACTATCATATTCACTTGAGCACCAGTGTCAAACTGACTTCTGTTAAAGCTAATCCATTCCTCAGTGATAGTATCCTTAAAAGAAACACTGTCTCTCTCTGTCACGATGATAACAATAAACCTAAGAGCTGATTCTCTCAGTGTAAACTGCCAAATGTGACGAACTGCTGCTCAAACTTGACTAGTTGAGAACACCATATGTTTCAGTCGTGTCCTGGCAGGTCTCTGCAGTTACAAGTAGTTTTCAACTCTGTGCTTAACATAATAATACTCTGTATTTAACATAAATACTCTGTATTTAACTCTCTCTTCTGCCCCAGTCATCGGTTTGACTTCTTTCCTTGTATTGCCCTTCATCACAATTCTCAGTCTCTCACAGTCTTACATTTCCTTTTTCTTCTTTGGAAAACTCCCCAGTTTCTGTACTCCTTTTTGACTCCTTTCTCAAACAGTCATTCCATTTCAGATATCCCCCCAGTCTCTAAAATCATGAGATGCACTGCCTACAACAAATGCACGAGCTTCCTCTTCTGCACGTGGTCACCTTCCAGCTTTGCTTCCAGTATTTCTGCTCCACTGAAGATACGCTCACTGCTGTCTCCAGGACCCTTTCCAAAGTCAAACACCAGGACCCTTTCTTAATAACTTTTCTTTTTTTACCTACTCTTGTTTTAGATATCAATCACCACTCTAGCCTTTACTTATATTTTGTTCTAGTGTATATACATAAAGCGAGGCCTTTTTCCTCCTGCATCCTCCCACAATTTCTTCCGCAGTCCTCAAGAGGGGAATTTTTTCTGAGAAGATCCCTAAGGCTCCTAAGCTGGTAATTTCCCTTTTAAAAATCCACTTTATGATCAGTCATCTGAAGCAGACCTTCAAGGACCATGAACTCTTTTTTTAGAGATGCAAAAACCATACAGCATATACTAGAAATTTTTTAATCCAATATTTTTACCTGAATTTGTTATGAATGATCAGTTTCCCTGAGGAAATTTCTATAATTTGGGAATATTTCCCATATAAGAATTATTTTTTAAAATTTGTATTCCTACATGAGGAAGCCTAGAAGAAATTTTTCCCCCTGCTTGTGTATTAAGAAAGAGAAACTAAATTATCATGGCTGATCAGAAAGTCATTGTTTGCTATTAAGACTGAAAAGGCTACAAAAAAGCTGTGCTATTAGGAAAATCAAATTACAATAGTGAAAAAATAAATTAAGGCTACCCTAAAGGAAGAAATGCAGTGCCTTTGAGTGGGCTAAGATTTTAGGGGACATAATGTTGTATCAGGAAGAAAATCACAGCAACACTTTGGTTAATTCCTAAAATTCAAATGTTAAAATAAAAGAGAATAAAGAGAACATGGAAATGTTTTTCAGGTCAAGAACACAAAAGCTCTGTCATATTAGTCTGTTGGTATGAAAACGTACCAGTGGGGATTTTCTTTATAAGGGAGCAGTAGAGTTTACCTGGAAATATAGCTAGGAAATGGATGTGTTTATATTGCTTAAAGAATTAATTTTTATGTATTAAGGACATTTTTATGAATTAAAGCAATCATTTCAGACATGATGCTGCAGACATACTATTAGATTAGCCCAGTAAATATTATTTATACGCAATGGTTAACTAGAGAAAAAGTGCATCTCTCTGTATATCAGTCTCCATACAATTGCTGTTCCACCTTTCCTGTAAAGGTAATAGAAAATATCTTGTGGGGTAAGGAGGGTGAAAGGTTCTATTTCAGCATTAGACATTGTTTCAAATTATTGTTTCAGTGTTTATGATACAGTTTGAAATAAATTAAGCACAGACTGAGTCCGCCATGCAGCTCTGTCCCTTTTAATTCAAAATAGAGAATGCCTGATGAGATGACTTACAGTTGTTCAAGGTATTTATCAAAACCTGGAGATTCTGACATTTTTAATATTTTTTACTGACAGTACTAATTACAACGATGTACTTAGAGAAAAAATCCTTGGCCAGATGCTGATCTCAGGTAGCCAAGCATAAATCTGGAGTAATCTGATTGCTCCTGAGAGCATAACACCAGATTTATGCTTACATGCCTAACAGCTCAATCTGGCCCCAGGCTTTAGTAACTAGTAAATTCCTTCTGTTCAGGTTTTTTCCCATTTCTACCCATGCCTTATGGTCTGCTGTATGAAGTCCAAAAGTATGGAGATATTTTGACATTTTAGATTATTATCTATTATATTATTGAATGCACTGAAAAAGGACACATCACATAAAGAAAACAGAAAATTGTCTGAGTCAAATATTTCTTTCTTATCCTTTGGGTTTTTGTCTGGAAAATAAAGCCTTCAACAAGAGCAGAAGAAGACCTAGTCAACTTGGGAATTTTTTTTTTCTTAAGGTCAACATTTTTGGAATATGTTTATTCTGTTTCAGAGAGCATTTTGTTAGCTTGATATTTTAAACCAAAACATTGACTTCAATATGACTGTCCAAATACTGGAAATTTTCTATGCTGGTAGAGAATCAGCAGAGGTTGGAATCTGGTTGTGAGTCCTGTTGTTTTACAGACAAACTCATCCTGAGTGTGTAGCCAATATCCAGCTTGATGTGCCTGCCATCACAATACAAATAACAAATAAGCATGGCAGAAACAGTATAGGAAGAAATTTTTTAACACTAAGTGATTCCTCCAAAACTCATTATTTTAATAATGAACACAGCCCATCCATGACAGGCACAAGACTGAGTTTTTATGCAAATAGATTCATCAGTTCTGGAACCACTCTAGCCCTGAAAATCAAATTAACAATATCCATCATGAGACATAATACAATTGCAGCAGAAAGAAAGGAGGTGTTACCTTCTTTAATAGCTGAGAAGACTTGAAATACAGTTAATGGTTGAAAATGTCCTTCTGTAAGCAAGAACAATACCATAGCAACAGTTGCTATTGTTTAGGTATAGATGTTAAAGTTTGAGCACAAGTACCAGATGAATGCGAAAAATAATATAATTGAATGATTTAAGAAATAGCAATATTGTGCATCTCACACTGTTCATCATTGATTAAGCTATAAAATTGTGTGAACAGAGACCCTGAAACATTACATTTATCTTCCTAAAGATGTATCAGCTGCAAAAACTATGAATCCTAATAGAAACATTTTAGTGAATCATTTTAATTATGCAAAATTAAAAAGTAAGTTGAACTCTTTAAAAGATATCTCTTCAGGACCTACCTGAAAAAAAAGGAAAAGAAAGTCTGAATTACCCCACTGTGGTAAATAGGGATGTGAAAGGCAAATTTTATTTTGGTCAGCTTATCCTAGTGATCTGCTTCACCTGGGTAGAACAGCTGCAGTTAAACAAATTCATGACTTCTAGCTAGGAAAGGGTAATAATGTCTAATTTTAGTCTGACTTAAGGTTTATGCAAATACAGCAAGCCACAAAGTTACAACACAGAAAAGGGGGTGTACTGCCTTTTTTAAAGGCTTTCACAGATGGATATATGGAGGTCTCTGCCTTATAATGCAGTTCTACCAGCATCAACTGCCCATTCTTGGTATCCATTTCTTAAAAATTACTTTCTTTTATCCCTCACCTTATAGCTGTGTCTGACTGAAGCAAGTCGAAGACAGAAAATCTGCCAAAAGGCTCTAGGAATCAGACAGCCATTGAATGGACAAGACTGTTTAACCAACGTGGAAGCAGCACAGAGGAAAAGGAAAAAAAAAAAAAAAGAAGAAGAAAAAAAAATCCCTGCTTTTCTCTCAGACTAGTGAGTCAGTCATATTCAAACTATGTTTGTGGGATGACTAACTAGTGTCAGAGCAGAAGACACCACGCCAAGACTAGAAGAGGATGAGACTGTTCAGCTTCAGAGCAGAATTATGCCAGCTTAAATTGTCCAGAAAGCCCAATCTGCTTCATCTTTCCACACCCTTTAGGAAAAATGAGCCCATGTCCTGGTGTTAAAAAATCACCTTTCTGTGTATAATCTAATGCCTCATAAACTGACAAAACCCTTCAGGAAACCACATCAGCTATCCCTCTGCTTCCTTTTTGTCCTTCATGTGGATGGAGATAAAACTTCTCCTCCACAGCAGTGTTGAGAGAATTCATGTTTGAAATAACCAATGTTACTTGTTTCCCTGTATTCTAAATGTTTTATTTGTTACCAGCTGTGGGAGGAGGAGGGAGGGGGAGAGGGAGACAAAAAGCAAGCTAAGGAAACAGAAACATATTCACTCAAACTATATGCAATTTCTTTGTTTCTTGACAGGATCTGAAGCCACGTCTCCTCAACAACGACCTAGCTGCAACACTGTAAGATATTCTAGAGAGGTTTGTTCACAGTCTCTCCCACTGATTCTGTTCCATCTTGTATGGACTATTTAAATATTCATTAAGCCAATGAGAAGGAAAATTACTCAGTATTAAAGCACTTTCCTAAGTACTTTCCTGGAAGGTGACAAATCTTGGCTCATGTCCATGTTTTGATTCAGAGCAGAATTAAGAATCAAGGTCTCTCTTTTCTCAGGAATGTACTCTAAGAAAGTTGCACCTAACTTTTTTATTGTCTTGGAGAATATTTAGCCTCTACAAGTGGCAGAGAGTCAGTGGAATGTGTTGTACACAAAATACAGGATAACACGGTAGTTAAGACATCCTGAAATTTGCAAATTCAGATCTCCAGAGGAAGGGGCTTGTGTGAACATGAGATGAAAAGGACAGTTTCCTCAGCTAGAGGGCATGCAACCACAGTGTAACCAGTTTTTCCTCAATCAGATTTTCAATTTTGCAATTATAACCACACATGCTGCTTTGCACCTTGTATCAGAGTTCATTCCTACAGCAGAAAGCAATAAATAATTTTCTGATGGCAGTTAAGAAAAAAAGAGTTCAGGTCGCAATGTTTTAACTTGAGTTCTCAAGATTTCACAAGAAAAAAACCTTCAATTTTATCTTATAGTGTTAGGATACCACTGAGGAAATGAGTGGTAGAAGCAGACCAAAGAAAAGGTCCCATTTTACTTAAAGGCCTATCAAGTGGAAAGGTTGTTAATAATCTGTGTTTAAGCTAATCTGTGGTAAAAATACAGTGCTGCTGCTAAAAATTGACTCTGTCTGCCATCAGCAAGTGTGAGGGCAAAACCAAAGACAACACTCTAGGACACATATGTTACTCATAGGCTATGGAAGGATAAAAGATCAGATTACTTGCCATAGCTACAATATCCCTGAAAGCTAAAAGAAGACTTTAGGAAAAAATCCCAGCATTTCAGCTCACAGAAGAAATTAGATCTGTCTTTTCACTTCAGTATCTTCCTTCAGAAAAAAAGACAAAATTGGAAGGATATCTGGAACAAGAATACACTATTTTAGATGTTGATATTCTGAAACATCAATTATTTCATTTATTTAAGTTGCAACTAGTACCATTTTTTAATATTTTAAATGTTTCTGATAATCCTGACTGAAAAGTAATTTAAGGTCCCTTAGAAATAATGAAAGAAAAGCACAGACACACACACCCCCCCAAAACCCAAAAAAAGCCCAAAAAACAAGCATAAAACCACCAAAAAATTACTCCTTGAAACACTGTTTATCTGGAGGAACAGTAAGTCACATTTCATAGCATTCAGCCAGGTTATCAGAAGACCTGAGGGTAAGAATCTTTGCATCCTTCCCCTTGCCTCACTGCATAAACTCAGAAGGCCAGGAGTCCTAATTCAGCAGAGGGCCACTGCAGCTCCAGCCTGCACACAGACAGAAGAAGGAAAATGAGGTCAGTTGTGCAGAAAACACCAACATCACCAGGTCTGCACTGCCCTAGGGGTCTCTGCCGCCACACAAACTCAAAGGCACCCAGACAGCACAGCCTTGCCTCTGGCCTGCCTCTCCCACTGACCTCCCAGCCTCCTCCTCTAGCACCACAACATATTCTGAGCCCTGAAAAACCTTGTAGGAGATCCCTGACTTGAGGTTGCTGCTTAAGATGAAGTACTGACTGCTCCAGGGTCTTGGCAATGAGAATCAAGAGGAGAGACAGCAATTCGAATTGCCTTTTGTTGGTGTAGAAAGCTTTGCTTTCCTTGCTAGCCTTTTTTATACTCTATGTTAATAACTTGGTGGTAGTTTTCAGGAATTTTGCCTGCTTTTTCAAGAAAATGAAAGCATTTTTGTATCATACATTTTAAATCCTTTTTTTGATTTGTGCAAGAATGGGCACCTCTGAATGTAAGACCTAAATTTGCTCTCTCAGTTATTTCTGTTGAAGAGAAAGTATATTCAGACCTCTCTGTAAATTTGAATTGTATTTACCATACCAATGACATACGATAAAAAGATTCATTATTGAAAATAAGTTCTTATTCCCCTCAGTTGTAAGTTCAGAAGCAGCAGATCTGATGAAATATTCCTTCAATCTACTGCACATGAGTAATAGTGTGCACCCATGGGCACATAGATAATATATTGCCCAGGCAAACACCCCAAAGCCTGGAATGCAGGCAGCACACTGGCACAGCAGAGTTCTAATCCCTTCACTAAGTGCAAGATGCATGCCTTAAGTGACAATGCTTGCCTCGTGGGTTACTTAGATTTTTCTTTATTTATGCATAAAAAAATAATTTTGTCATTAACAGACAGAGCCTGCAGCAAATGAGCATTACAGCAATTTTATGGTTTCCTGCTAACAGGAGCTCTCTATTGAAACCTTCTGAACTCTGTTAATGAGTTGGAAAAGGATGTCTTGCACTTCCATTACTCCAACATTTTACCACTGAGGTTCCACAGAGGCTGAATCTTGCTGAGGGTCCAGAAGTGCCCAGCTGCCAGCTGGAACCCTGATAAATGCATAGAGCAAAGTTTTACAAAAGTTACCTTCGAGCATGAATGTGTTACAGTGAGCTCCAAACATAAATTAAATTCAAGGCAATTTTAAATAATTTATCTAAATAGGAAAATAACATCTAGTTTTAGAAGTCCCTGTCTTGCTTAGGAAAATAAATTCAGGAGAAAAGGACACATCAAATTATAATTAATGCATCATTAATTTATTTCAATTAAATATAACCCCAGTATCTTTCTGGCACTATGTAAAGCAAGTTTTAACTTTATTCTCTTCATAAAGTAAGCTGAATGTTAGTGAATTAACCTAAGCTAAAGTATTAGTTTAAAAAAGAGCCCTGACAACCACCTCTACAGTGACAGGTCATGAAGACCCATAGAGATCATAATCAAGGGAAGAATGTAGTTTCTGAATTATATTACAATCACCTTAGAAGCTAGTTACCATATAGAGAACTCAGAAAAAATGTCAAGTTTGCCAGAGAATGGCAAAACTCACTCATTTATTTTATTCTGTAGTTGTATGTACCCACACAATTAAAAATAGAGATTTGGCCTTGGTTTCGTTAAACCACTTTCAATTAAATGGCATGTGGATATGTAGAGATGAATGGGATGTGATTAATCAATTTATTTATTTATAATGCAGGGGTTTTAGTTACCAAAGCACATTACCACGCTTCAAAAAATGGTTTAAGAACTCCAAATATGTACTTGCATAAAACCACAGCTCTTGCAGCTCCAGCAGCTCCAGAAGTTCCAGCAGCTCCAGCAGCTCCAGGGCATTAATGGGACAGATGGAACGGATCTGTGTAGCATCTGAAGGGTGGACTCTGTAACTGGTTCTTCCTTTATCCATCAGAGATCAAAACTACTGCCTACAGAACAGAGAAAGGCTGAAGGACTTTGGACTTGATCATAGAATCATAGAATAGCTTGTGTCAGAAGGGACCTTAAACATCATCTAGCCTCAGCCCTCTTGGCAGAGGTAGGGACATCTGACACTAAACCAGGTTTTTCAGTGCCTCATCCAACTTGGTCTTGACCACTTCCAGGGATGGGGAAGCCACA